AAGTACTCCCACGTGCAATTATATGGATACTCTATTCCAGACGGGTCGTTTCATTTTAGGAAACCTCTTTAACATACATGAAATATTAACCGCGCGTTTTAAATATCGAATCACATTATGCAAATTAATGGATTTCGTATTTCGAGTCGGGTGCTTCGGGATCGAGTTTGTTGCGACGACTGCAGTTCCGTCAGTTTGTGCAAAAGTAGGCAACCGTGAGAAATATCGAGCATACTTGTCGATAACGTGTTCGTATCTCGTCGATCGAGTATTTGGTTTAACCAAATAAGAAAATGTCCCGTGTGCGTTGGATTTGTGTGTATGTAATTCGTGTTTTCAAAGGAACGTCTTCTGCGATAAATTCGAGAGAGTGTGTCCGGGGCAACTGTGCACGGTCGACGTATCTCAGATTTTCGTACGCTAGCGTCCCGAAACGGACAAATCGTTGTGTGCTGACAAGTTGTTGGCAAAAGTTTCGCGTATATTTGTAACTCCGATGGAAACTTCCGCCGACCTTCCATCGGCCCACTCGACGTAGCCCACTTTTAATTTCGAATACGTTTCACGTGCTAATGGGACGAACAATAACACAAACAATACACAATACGTTAGGCAACTCGATCGTGGAATTTTTGACATCGATATAATACATCGAAATACTTGACCGACAGATCGAAATGAACCGTGTATGAGCGAAACATTAAACATGTGACTAATTATTACCTTCATAGCGATGATATCGCGTGATATTGATCACAAATTAAAGCACCTTGCATACAATGAACCGCGAATCGCCGGTGCAAATTAAATCGAATAAACTTTGTTTACGCCTAAATGGACGTTTATGAGGAAATCCAGTGTAACTTCGAAGCGCGTTTTACGACGAAATCTCGTGTAATTTCCAAGGGTAAAGAATATCGAATTCCGTATTTCGTGGGATCGAACGCCTAATTGAATCTTCAGCGAACTATGCTTCGCCATTGCGAATTCGATTCAATTGTAGAAGGAAATCTCGGGCAAACGATTCAGCCCCCTCTTACGTGCAATTGTATTTATTCAAATCCAGTTAACAAAATCACCTAATGCAACCAGTGCGCCGGAAACCACGCGTTACGTGTAACACGTAAATAGAAAGGTTCGATGCTGGCGCGAAAGTGTTGTCAGCAACAATTTCTGCAACTGCGCAACAATTAATTATCGTTCGGCCGTCGAACACTCGGCTGGTCGCCGGTTTACCGAGAGATCAGCTCGAGCAGCTTTCTTTCTTCTCGCCTGGTCGAGTAAAGCGAGACATCGAAATTCTTCACGTCGGAAAGTTCCCGGCGCGAGTAATTAAGACCTTACAGGCGTGTAATGGCCGCATAAATCGGCCGGCCGTAACTCGTAATCCACTTTCGAGTTCGCGAGGAACATCGCGCCACCGCCGCCGCCTCTGCCGCGCGTAACACGTAAATTTCCCCGCCGGTTTATGCAAATTATTGATGGAACCCGGGGCTAATACATTGTCGCGCGTGCAACCGGAACCGCCTACGAACTCGCACGTCTACACAGCGAGAGGGGATGGCGGAGAGGGTGGAAGGAAGTGTGGTGGGGAAAGGAGAGAGAGGGGCGTTCGAGTGTCGATACATTTTCCGACGGAATTACGAAAGCTCGCCTTCTTCCCCTTCCCATTTAAATACCGCATAATAGCCCGATAAATAAACACGGCCGCCACGATGCCACGGGTTCGCAAACGGCGTGCGAAATTTATTTTCGACTGCGCCAGATCGAAAATACGACGCCGAAGGGGATGAGATCTGGAATAGAGCTGGCGCGGGATTGCGATCGCACCGACGGCGGGAACCGATGATAAATGGAAATATTAGGAGGTATAATGCACCGTCACATCGAAAACCGGTGAAATATGATTCTCGGCCGATCACTCGTGTGCAAAAACACGTGTAAAAAATGATTAATTGATCGAGCGTGCGGTGAAATATTGCACGGGTATTCTGATTATTGCGTCGTGTTTTGAGGCACGTCACGCATACGCAGAAACAATTATCTATCCCTTACGGAGGAGAAAACAGAGATAAGACAAGACAAAGAATCGAGAGCGAGAGCGAACGATCGTGCGCTGCGTGTAGGTATAATTCTCGAATATCTCAGGTGACCGAGCGAAATCAGTTTCACGCAGACGCGCCGAAACTTGAACGCGAATGAGTCTCCGAGGCCGAATCCATCACTGTCAACGGTCCGATTGCATTAGAGAGAACCGCGGGGCCGAACGATCAATTCCAAAACGTTCTTGCCGCCTAGCCTCTAATCCCTAATATCGCGCGGACGATCCGGCGTTTTTGCCAATTAACCTTGGAATTTTCAGGAATTCCAGTGCCGAGTGCACGACCCGGTGGTAAAAGAGTGGTAAGCAAAGTTATTATCTCGGAAGACTCACCTTACTCTCGGCTGCTCACGATACTAGCTCCGCCGGTGTCTGCGGACTGTACAACACGTATACACACAAGAAACTACGGTCGACTACGGTCGCACGAATCACGCGACCCACGAGACTGTCGAACGGTAGATCCGTTTTTCGTCAACTGGCGCTCGGCGGAACGGTGGCAACTCGATTCGTTTGAAACGAGCTGCTTGCTACCACGGCACTGTTTCTCGGTCCCCGCTACGCGAATCACAGCCTCACGAGGAGGATCAACACACGACACTGACGACGAACAAACGGACACAATCACCGGGATAAAGCATACGTACAACGAGCGCGTCACGTTGACGGATCGTTCACTGTTCGCACAAGTAACTCTGTCGCTCGATCCAGCCTCCGTTGCCAGCGGGAGCACCGTTTCCGGCTTCAACGACAGCCTCGAGCGGATCAAACGTCATCTCGTTGCGGAGATCCGTGCATCGCTCCGTTACGTGCGCGCGACGTGTCGCGATCAGTCACCGCGATACACGGCGATACGCGAAGGAATTTCTCGAGCAGCGGCACGAATACGGCGCGAGGCGAGGAATATACGAGCCACTGGCGACGACGCACCGAGCGAACACGGACGCGGTAACAACGAGTTAAATAACGCGAATACACAACACGTAACGTCGCCTCGAAGCTCGCGAGACGGACTACGGTACGAGAATGAGAGGGCCTGCCAGCGCTCGCGCATCGCGACGACAGAGACCCCACCGTGTACCAGGCGAGTCGAAGCGCGCCACGGTCGATTATTCTGTGGCACCCACCTACCGATCGAACTACCCTTCTTCGCGGCGGTTCTTTCAACACCGCGTTTTTCCTCCCTCGTCTTTCGCAGCCATTGATTCTTAACACTTTGCTGTTCGAGCTATTTTCCGCGTCTTACCGCATCTGCAGCAGGCAAATTCACTGTCCGGTTTGGATAAATTTATAAAAACTCCGTCTCTCTATATCGTCAAACAACTACTTCAGTGGTAAAGCAACTTCGACAGTGAGGTAATTGCGTTATGCACAGTGAAGTGCTTTGAAGCATTTTTTTTTTCTGTTTGAACTTGATTTCGTAAACAAAAACACGTTGTTTCATCTCTACGCAGTAAAAAATTACCAAAAAAAAAAAGAAATTCCGGAAAAAATAGGTTAAAGTATATATCCTATAAAACTGAGATAACAATCAGCCGTCGGGACGACTATACATTTTACAGTTCTGTCAAGTTTCCCGCTGTCGAGCGTCAGTATGCTTCGGACTGTCTTTCCTATTATTTCGCCAACTTCCCGCGAACATTCCGAGGATACTCCATTGTATTTCCCGATCTCTTCTTTTTGCGATTAGTTCAACGTGCAACAGTCGAAATAGCACTGGAATTTACGCTCGTATTTGCCCCTTCTGAATTCTGTTCATTTCGCATTTGTCGAAATCTCGCACGATTGAACGTAAGGCACGAGAGTGGCGAAAGCAATCCCCCATCTATTTATATTTCGATGCATAACAATTTTTTTTTACTTGGTCAAGTTTCTAGGAAAGGCCGTTTGGTAGATTCAATCGTCACTTTTGTAAGAGAGATGAAACATTCAAGGAGAAATGGAAAATCCAGCCTTGAATGGTGAAACACCGGTAAAGCTGGTCGAATCTCGCCGCGCAGACTCCGCCAGAGAAGAGACACCTGGTATCGATTCAGTTCTACCAACGAAAGGATACTTTTTGGTAACTTTGTCGTATATCTAGGGACACTTATGCGAGGTACTCGCAGGTCGAAGTTCTTCAAACAAAGTTCGATCGATTCCCTTGTACAAATTTTGCAAAAGTTATACTTCCTGATTAAAGAAGCTGGAGGTATAAGTGTTGCAAAGTGGATTTACGCGCAGATCGTTAATTAAGCATGCTCAATTGAGATCGATAGTTTAACGTACTTTGAATCATGCTCCTCGGGAATCATAGTTGATTGGATTTTTAAGGCAATTCGATATTTTAGGGTGGAAGTTATTCCAAGAATCTGCGTTACATTGGCTTGAAAACGATATTTAAAAGCAAGGTATTGCTTGCGAACAAATTTTTACAGGAAATTTGAAGCGTCGAGTATTCTTCGATACAAAGAATTATCAGCCGCTCCCCGGAAAATTAAAGTAGAAAGTTTTATTAGTCGGAAAGTTCAATGGATGAAAGTTGGCTGGAGCTTTTCATGGAAGTTCCTTTAAATGCTGTTCCTTATCACGAATTCCTGTGTCGGCTGGAGTTACGACTAGTTTTCCACGCCGAAGGAGAAGCCAGGCAGTTTAAACGTTTCCCCATTCAACGATCACAACGCGTGAATTTACCAAATTTTCAAAGAAAATACATGCACCATGTCGGTGAAGAAACCGTAATCACATCGTTTCCCCTTCTCCTCCTCCCCCCCTCCCCGATGATGAAAATTTCAGAAATTCGAGAGAGATTTCAATTTTTGATTGTGATTCTTGCATCTTCGTCCGCACGAAACATAACACAAAAGCGCAGTCTGCGTAGTCTACCAAGTTTCCAAGGCTCACGGTTGTCTCTTAAGTTATCAAACTAAACTTCCTCCTTGCTCAAGACAAGAGAACACTTAACTTCCGAGATTTTAACAAGGAATTTAAAACAATTACAACTTCCAAGTAATTTTAAATATTCTTCGTAAACCTCTCTTTAGTACAACAAAATGCTCCGAATGGATTTACGTGCCATCATCCTCAGTTTACATCCTGACCAACGTCTCATTCTCTTGATTGAAACTTCTTAAAAGGTTGTGGCTTCTCACTACGTGCACAGTATATTCGAAAAAGCCTTCGATGCGTTCCACTTTGTTTCTACCTGAGATTTCTAGCTAGGCGCCTTCGTGTCTGACAAAAGTCGAAGAATCCCGTCTAATATAGAAGGCCTGCTGAATGGCACGCGTGTGTCTTTCGAACGAAGATATACTGACGCGACAGTGGATGCACGAATGATCGCACACCAGCTAGTGTGACTGCCGCTTCGGTTAAAGTTATAACGGTTGTGGTGACATTTGGGCCGCACATCCTATCTACTTTCAGCGAGTTTGCTGCTGTCTGCTGCTGTCTGCGAAAAAACTACGGATCTTGTGGAATTTCTTTATCAAAGTCCACCGTCTTTGCGTTTGAGAGGAAAGGATCACCTTTTTTCTAAAAAATAAATTTCTAAAATAAAATTTCTTTGTTACGTATCCATAGCTTGTGTCGATTTGACACATTTTTCTTATAAAGTATCGCGTTGTTTTACAGTTATATAAGTGCAGAAAATTAAACTTAACTATTTATCAATTTGACTTAAGAGAGAAATTAAGTTGGACAAAATCGTGGACGAATAAGGGTTAAAGCGAAAAGAAATTGAAATATATATTACCTACACAATATTCATAAGAATGCAAACCAATTTCCAGACAGATAGCTGTCGAGGACTTGTTCAATACTTGACGTTGGATTATTTCGCGAAACTGGCAGACAGATCACGTGTCGGTGTCAGTTTCTTAAACTCATCCCAACGGTTGTTCCTGCGGTCGAATTGTTGAAACGTAGAGACGCGCCGGTTGGTTCAACTTCCGATCGACATCTCGGTGCACAGTCCTCCCGAGAGATTCTGAACTTACTAGTTAGTTCTTGGTCATCTGCGAACACCTGTACCCGTCGTATTTTAATTAAACGTGCCATCTATATCTGCGTCCGATCGATAAACGGCAATTGCTAGTCGGTGAAAGAAGTTAACGATGCTTTTGTTGCTGTTATCGCTATCTTTTCTCTTTTATCACAGTTCGTTCTTCAGGAACAGCATAGAGATGCAAATTAAAGCGCTGAGCGAAACTTGCACGAAATACAGGTTATCATGGTGTTCATGTATGAAGTTTATTCGTATTATATTAAAAAGGAATATATAGATTTTAAATCCCATCTTATTTAGCTTATTCGAAATTTGTCATTAGTAGATACAATTTTCGATAAGAGCTATTAAATGAAATATTTTACTTTCGTGAACGATTTCGAAATGTTCTCTGCATTTCCATATACAACGTATGGTTGGTACGTTATTAAGATTTACCACGTTTAATGAATTCGCACGTATTTGTACATCATGTTTCT